TGTCCGCGATGGACTCCTAAACTACTTCACCGATTTTAATTAAATTTGTACACCGTGTGCAGTAAATACCCCTTGGTCTCCTGCTGAAAGTAAGGGAGTTTGGTCACGGTAGGTAGAAGTGGGTGGTTGTAGGTGGCGAAAATGTGATATCTGTCATTTTCTAACTTATGAGACCTTTCGGAAAGTTCTAAAAATTTCTGAAATGATCCAGAAAACTCCAGAATCTGTGCAACTGTTACAATCGATCTAGAATGTTCTAGAAGGTTCTAATAATTTCTGGAATGATCTAGAATGTTCCAAATTGTGTGCAACTATTAAAATCGATATGGAATGTTCCAGAAAGTTCTAGATATCATTAAACACGCCATGTATAATAACCCTAGCAACGCCGGGTTTCGCTGCTAGTATATATATATATATATGTGTGTGTATGTAGTATGTAGATTAAACCTTGTTTATTCAGAACAGTGAATGAACTGTAAGATTAAATTTGAACGGTCAAAAAATCTTTTCGGTGCTCTTGTCATTTAACAAAATAAAATAGTCCTTCAAGAGGAGAGAACTTCGGTTTATGATTATGTCATCTCGTAATCCTTATAGAACATGATAAGAGACATATATATTTTTATTGCATGTGGTTTTTGTCGATCCTTAATTCTATAAAATCTACCTTAATTGGAGTAGTGTAAATAAACTTTTATGGAAGATTCGGTCTAAAACACATACAGATGGTGCTACCTATATGTGCCCGTGTAATTCACTTAATTAATTGTAAACAAAATGATAAGAAACGAAAAGAGCAATGATACGATTAAGTATATTGTATTATTGTATCACGAGCCATCCATGTGGGTGTGCACGAATTGCAATACTATTTTTATCATTATAAAAAAGGTTTTTGTCACTGTGACGCGTGAAAGGCGTAGCTCAGACCCGCCTATCTTTTTCGTCACCCTGACTTGCACTATTACTGTGTTGTTTAAACATTTTATCTTAAATACTTAAATTTTTTTGCTAACACGACAAATTAGGAAGTTAACGATAATTATCTTAATCATGTCCTTTCCATATTTACTCAATCTTGCTTCTTGTGTTTATTTTTTGTTAAAACTGTTTTATGGTGCGTGGTTAAAGTGCGACGTAAAGTAAATACGTTCGTGTATTTGAACATTTGTTATAATTGAATAGTTACTGGTCTTAAAGAGATGTAAATGTTTTTAAAATTAAATCGCATGAGTTTAAGGTTTCTAACGCATAAGTGAAAACATGTTAAACATATAATTATTTCATTGACATTCAGGATGAACCTATAGTATCGTAAGCAGAATTCACAAATTGAGAACCAAATTTATTCAGAAATTTTAATAATAAGCCGTATATCCTATTTGGATTGTGTACTCTGTGGATCCGGCCCTCTTTTAAAGGATCCGGCCCTTTTTTTAAAGGATCCGGCCGGGTACCGGATAACGACCTGGCAATCCTGCAATCCCGGGTAATAATTCTACTAAAGAAAGAAAAAAGCTAGCACCAGCAATAATAATAATTTAAAAAATATAACACAAAAATCTACCCAATGAAAATTGGAAATTAATGTTGTCTTGGGATACGCCGTTGTCTTAATTTGTATTATTTATTAATTACTATACTAAACATGGAAACATGGACAGTAGGCGTAGCGGAAAAGAAAAGGTTAGAAGCGTTCGAAATGGTGGTGGAAGATACCATGGATAAAGAAGGTTAGAAATGAAGAGGTATTAGAAGTAATAGGAGAACAGAGGACCCTGTAGAAGTCAATAAGATATAGGTAAAATAGGTTAGTAGGGCACCTCAGGCATGAAGGTCTAGTCAGAGACATATTAGAGGCAGAAACGGGAGTTAGGAGAGGTAGAGGAAGACCTAGATTAGATTACTGTTCGCAAATTGTTAAGGTTGTGGATTATGCTAGTTTTAGGGAAATGCGAAGATTAGCTCAAAATAGGAAAGAGTGGAGGTGCGTTTCCAACCAGTCTTAGGACTGACGACCTTATGATGATGACTCATCCACTCTTTCCTAATCCTGAGCTAAACTTCGCATTTTCCTAAAACTAGAACATCCCACATCCTTAACTATTTGCGAACAGTAATCTAATCTAGGTCTACCTCTACCCCTCCTTACTCCTGTTTCAGCCTCTAATATGTCTCTGACTAGACCTTCATGCCTGAGAAGGTGTCCTAGGTGATGACTATACTAAATTATTTGTTATTTTGATATAGTTGTTGTGAACAAGAATACATCAGTATGACCGAAGTTTAACAATTTCTGTCGCTTGTAGGTATATCAGGTTTTGATTAAACGATAACTATTATTGTATGTTATTCAAATTTGGTCACCTTGCAGTCTTGTAGTGTTTATGAACGTTATAGGTTCGTTTCAACGGTTTCAACTCAAGCCTCTGGCTGAAAATCCGCCAACCAAGAATTAAAATTTAATTGGTTTAGTATTTTAACGACTTTTTGAACGGGACTCAATGCAGTTTGGGACGATGGTTTAGATGGTATAGTTAGGACGTTTAAAATTGGTATAGTCCGCAATAAAACTGTCCCATTTGCTTTCTGTTTTTAACTTACTAACTAAACTAGAGCGGTTGCTAACAGAACGCCTAGTTTTACTCACAGCAGGCGTTGTAGGAAATATTGTAAGCATAGAAAAAGATGTCAGGTAGGAATTGCAGCGGACACTAATAAAGAAAAGGGAATAGCATTACACAAATTAATGTGTACCAGAAAGAGATGCAGACAAGCAGAATTTGTACATATTGCCAGCATCGGACTTAAAGAAATACATTCTCATGAATTTAGGGAAGCAAAGAATATAATTCCAACCGGATCGTTACAGAGCTGACCCTGACTTTTTACGTACCTAAGCAACCCCTAACCGCTGCACCACTTACTATTATTCGGTTATCTGTTTTTACTTTTTCTGTACTACTCATGAAGCATTTTCTAACTTGACAAGGACGTGTTCAAAACACAGAAAATAATTACAGTCCCAAGTACATACAAGAAAGAAGATACGTCCATTCTCACAGATAATTTATTGAGGACTTTGGTAATTGTGATCGTCCGAACTTTATTTTATGGAAAGACTCCCCCAGGCTAATTATGAACGAACGAACCAGTGGTAAAGGTCTAGATGATGGCCCCCACCCGTGAAGGGAGTGGTAGTGGGGGGGATCGAAAGAGCAGGTATTCCCCACCACTGTACCATAAAAAGTTCGTGGCGGTCTCACCCCCATAAAAAGTTATGGGGGTTCAAAGTTAATAAATATGCTAATTTTTATACATTTCTAGGCATGTAAATATTTATATAGTCATTCTTAAACAATATTCAAAGGTCAAACTAATGAAAAATACATAAAAATATTGAGAAAGTTATATAAAACATTATTTAAATATCATTAGGGTTAGGTTAGGTTAGGTTATCGGGTTTGGGGGTGGGGGGCCATCATCTAACCCCCATAACTTTTTATGGGGGTGAGACCGCCACGAACTTTTTATGGTACAGTGGTGGGAGAGACCTCCTCTTTTGATCCTACCCACCCCTACCCCGAGGGGGTGGGGGCCATCATCTATACATTTACCCGAACCATTAACTGTAGTAGTTTTGTGGAGTACCCGGCTATCCGGTACCTGATAAAATCAGTATCCGGTACATCACAGTTCCCAGAGGGGAAAGCTTGGTATAGGGAAAGGTTTTATGGAGTATTCAGCGTAAAATACATACAAATGGAGCTGCAGATGTATTTCCCATAATTCAATTATTTAATAAAATGATAAAAAATGAGAAAGCGATGATACGATTAACAAGTGCCACACGTGCATGGTGTTATTGTATCACGAGCCATTCATGTGAGAGTGCACGAATTGCAGTATAATTTTCGTTATGTAACACAGAAGCTTCGTATCATTCCATCGCGAAAAGGTGTAGCTCAGACGCGCCTGTCTTTCTAGTCATCTTGACTTGCACTTTTTGTATTATTTCAAGCATGTTTTCAAAAACATCACAAATTAGGAAGTTATCCTTTAATTATCATAATCTTAACCTTTTCATATTTATTCAAAGTTGCTTCTTGTGTTTATTTTTGGTTAAAACTGTTTTTAAGTGTCACGTTGAGTAAAAACATCGTGTATTTGAACATTTATTATGAATAATTAGTAAGTTGTATTAGACGGATTTATTAAATGGTTGAAAGATAACATTACTGCGCAGGTAGAACAAATTTTGGCTTTTTAGTACATGAATTAAACATGTGATACCATCAGACAATAACTAAAGTATCACATAATTACAGTACTAGTTGAATCCGTCCAAATTCTGGCGTTTATTACTTATATTTTTATTTCCATAACCTAACATAAGCCATTTGTGCTAGCATTTCACACATGTGAATCAGGCTTAATCGTAAAAGTATAACTTAATTGAACCGCTACCATATCTTATCAATGACCCTATGATGGCCGAACGTTGACATTCAAACACGTCACACATGTTAAAATTGGCAATTTTAACTTAAAGTTCCGATTAAATGACAGCATCTATCTTTTTAATAAACATTGTCAGCCAATCTGAGAATATTTTGTTTGATAACTTTTCAAAATTAATATTTTTTAATAATATGTGCATGTAAGTTATATCCATCTGATTTCCGATATGAAAAAAAAAATATACACGTAAAAACGATGATTTGTATAGTGTTCAGTAATGATAGTTAATAACCGACCGGAGGTTCTTGATGCTCACTAATGAATCACTTTAGTCATGCACGCGTGAACCGTATGACTTATCGTACCGCACTTTTTTTATATAACGAAAATCTGAAACCTTTATATTGATATACATATATACTTTTTTTATGTATAATATATATTTTTTTCGAAAATATGGAGACCTATTAAGATATTTTTTTTTGTAATTATACGAAGGAATATTGATGATTTGAAAACGGGTATTCAAAGTTCTATTGTTTTTTCATGATTTTATTATTTAGTGGACCAAAAATTTTAACAGATTATAAAATAAACAATAAACTATTCGATATATCTTTACTCATGTCAGTATCAGTAGCAGTGGCACCCTTTTTAAATAAAGTTTTGGTCAACCGTAGTAACGAAGTACGGAAACAACGTCAAGATTCGATTACTACTACAGTTTTCCACATCTTTTGCTTTTTTTTTGTTTCATTTCGTGTTTTAGCAACAATTAATAAATATTAATATTCACATAACGTATAAATTAATTGGTCGGCATTGATAGAGTTCAGCCATGTTGTTTATTTTTTTCCTCTTTTTCCACTTTACTCTCGACTGTGTCCAAATCGTCTCGTTCAACTATCGCGTCCCATTTCTGCCGCGTCCCCGCACCGAAAATGAGGTAGAATGTGTTGCAAACCACATAAACGATTGCAGCAGTTACAAAAACTGTTCTCCATTTAGCGTGAGTAATCTGCAATTAAATAGTGTGTTTTAATATGGGCGGTTCACCCTCAGCCACAGCATTTACACCATTGAAATTTATTGTAGCATTAATTGAGTCAATTTAGGAAGGCGAAGTTACTAATATATTATTGTATATGATTTGCCTGTTTGCCCCATATAGAATATCCATTACCAATAAGGATATCACAAATACTTACCACTCGAACATATTCTATGATTTTAATTCATAAGAACTCTATGTATTGCATAATGTGTTAAATAATAGGGTAACGCAACCCATTTTTAGTCCTATGATTTGTTGTAGACCTCACCTTCCTAAATTGACTCAAATAAGAACTTTTGCCCTTGAAATATAACATGGCTACAAGTGACAATCATAACAAAAAATGCATTCTCTGGTCCACCATCTAAGATGGGATCCAGAGGGATTAGCCCTCGAAGTTATTAAAGTAGAAATAACGAAAATAGAGCACAACTCATTTCAAACAGTTAGAGATATGCCCCTTCCCTTATCTATTTCTGTCTTGCTCACGCTTGGGTCTATTCTTTCTATTCGCGCAGCATTCCACAAGGCCAAAACTCTAATCGTTTGAAATGAGTTGTACATATGTTTTATAATAAATAAATTGAGTGCTAGGTCCACTGATGTGTGCGCATCACGCAAATATTGCAGATTTGGATTACATTTTTTAGTCTTATTCCAGAGACTCATGGGCTCTATCTCCAATATTCCTATTTATGCCAAGTTATTATTTCATACACGTAGAGTCATGAAGTGATTAAAGCAACTTCCAGCTTTCTCAGTAACAATTACGAATGCGATCTTTTTTAGCTGGTCCACAATTTAAAATTGTGTTAAAAAAATGATTCGTTACCAACATGTACTTATCGTCTGCTTATTTTTAAAACTTTGTTAATTCCATATTTTCTCGTTTTTGTCTTGAGAGTATATTTTACATAAATCAGTTTTATAATTATTCACTTTGGCAATTTTATGACATCATCATAAGATCGTCAGTCCTAAAACTGATTGGACTCACATCTCCACTTTATCCTATCGTGAGCTAATCGTCTGTATCACCACATTTCGATCGCTTCCAACCTTTTCTAACCGCGCCCATCGTCTATGCTTTGCACCCGTACAACGCCGCACTCCAGATAAACATTTGTAACAATCTTTTGCGAATTTCTAAGTTAACCGTTTTGCTAGAACACAAGTGACTTCTTTTTGTTGAAGGCGACTATCCTCTGTTTTATGATCCTTCCATTTGACTTTCTAGATACCGAAAATCAGTCACTTCTTCTAATTTTTCGTCTCTTTGCCTTGCGTGCCAGTGTTTTCAATATTTGATATTTGATCATCCAGCCTCTTCCTCGTTTCTTCCTACATGCTTACATGATACCTTCCATTACCTTTTATTTCTCCATAGCACAGTTGTGATAATTTAATTTTGAAAAGTTAGTAATAGATGTATTACAAAAATAACATACCTCTCCTTTAACTATAATTCCTGCGTAAATGGGCGCTAGAAGTCCAACCAGGTTTGCAGCGCAATTCGTGAATGACATTAGAATTCCAGCAAAGCGAGGCGAAATGTCCAAATGATTGACTTTGAAACCTGAATATATTCCGCCGTTAAAGCCTACGCCAATTGTCAAAAGTGCAACCGTAAGAGCCCGGTTGCACCCAGTGTATGAGGCAGCCACCAAACAAATTGCTGGGGAATATTGTCCTACAAACAAAATTGATAAAGATAAGAACACTATACATTCTTCGTTTAAATAAGTGTATGCAACAGTAAAACACTATTGTAGGTTAGGACAGCAGAAGTTTTGAAATATTATATTATTGCATTAGTGTTTGAAAAAATCCCATTAAGGGAGACGAAACGTTGCTTTAGATTCAATATTTATGTTTATACAAGAAAAGTATTGAATACATTACCAATTCCGTTCATTATTTTTCGGACAATAACAATTCTAAATTGTTTCCTTGTGACTAAATAGTCTGCAATTTGGCCAGCTAGCATTGAAAACAGCCACATAGCAAGATAAGGCAAAGCCGACAGAACTCCATTCTGGAATGAATGAAAAGTTGTTTTTTCATGAAATATGTCTGGGGAGAAGACCACAATAAAATAATAGACTGAAGGAAAGTTGTTCTACTCCCTTGATACATTCAACTAGCTTTCGATGAATTACTCGAACCGCATAGTGAAGGCCACCTGTAGAATGTTGCTACATCTTGTGTGATTCAACTCGAAAAAAAAAAAAAAACTTTTGGCTGTTTCATTCCCACCAGCCAGTAATGCTGGTGGGCGGGCAGTCCCTCCGGACTATGCCGGAAGGTAGGGCGGAAGGCCCTCTTCAGCCTGCTTTCAGGAATCGTGGGAATGGGTGGTGGTTCAGGTGAGAAAGTTGAGACCGACGAAATGAAGACAGAAGAGAATGAAAGATTATCTGTGGAATATTACTGCCTCAGCATTTGCCTAAGTGATCCAAGGAAACCACAGAAAAACTTGGACCAAGGCAGACGGACCCGGAATCGAACCGGCGTCCTCCCGAATGCTAAGCAATGGTCTAGACCTCTAGGCCATGCCGCTTGGTTTCAACTCGACAAGGACCTTATCGAACATTTTTGAATCGTACAAAATGTAGCAATATTATAGAGATGGCGTTCACTACACTGTTTGTAGTAATTCTACAGTGATCGATAAACGGAATAAATAGGTGATTTCAATGTCCAAAGCCTAACTTATTAGTGAACTTTTGACTTGATTGTTTTCTTTTTGTCGAGTGTTTTGTTGGTACCTATGGTAGCTTATAATTAATTGTCTTATAATGAGCTTTTTGTTATAAGTCGTTGTGACACGAAAACAAAAGGTTTTGGTATCATAACCTTTACAACTCCGTTTTTTTAATAGACTCAAAAAGGGTTGCGGTAAATTTTTGTCCGAACTATGCTCAATTCAAAATTCATGCACCTCGGGTCATCATCATAAAGTCGTCAGTCCTGAGACTGGTTGGGCAAGCACCTCCACACTTTCCTATCCTGAGCTAATCTTCGCATTTCCCTAAAACTAGAACAACCCACATCTTTAACTTGTGAACAGTAATCTAATCTAGGTCTACCTCTACCCCTTCTAACTCCCGTTTCTGCCTCTAATATGTCTCTGACTAGACTTTCATGTCTGAGAAGCTGTCCTACTAACCTATCTCGCCTATTTCCTATTGATTTCCATAGAGTCCTTTATTCTCATATTCTTCATTTCTAACCTTCTCTATCCACCGTATCCTCATCATTTGTCTGTAACAACTGCCACATTTCCACCTTTTTTTTCTACCCCGCCCATTGTCTATGTTTCGCACCCGTACAGCGCCGCGATCTAAACATACACCTTTAATTTCTAAATTAACCGTTCGCGAGCATAGAAATGAGTTCTTTTTATTGAAGGCGACTCGACCCTGCGCTATCCCCTGCTTTATATCTCTACTACTCCTTCCGTCTTGACTTATCTGACTTCCTAGATACCTAAAATCAACCACTTCTTCTAGTTTATAATCTCCTATCTTTATATTCGCTCTTTCCCTACTTTTTCTTCCCTTGCATACCAGTATTTTCGTTTTACTTGTGTTTATTTTCATACAATACTGTTTTGTCAATACCGTTTCCATTTTATTGAAAGCCATCTCTAACTCCTTGTTAGATGGTAAATTCTGCTATATCATCTGCAAATCTAAGCATACTAATCTTATAAATTACTTTGTTTATCAAAAGTTTTTTTGCGTACGTGCGCTTAGAAATCTACCGCCTTACAAATTTGTTTTTCTCTTACTTTCTAAAATGAATTGCTAAAAAATAGTTTGTCAAGCTTTGCAGGAATTGTGATAACATAAACCTGTGCTAATAGTTATTAATTCATATCTCATATTACAATCATTATATGGCATTGTAAATTGTAGGCAATAATATTTTTATGGACAACAACAGGATATTATCAATTTTATAACGTCACGCTACCACAGTTTAAAACGTGAACGGTTTTTAATTTTGTTGTTCAAACATATCGTAATTTTCGATTTAGGTACCGCATTAAATAAATTTTAAGTCTGTATTTACTGATATCCTAACTTTATGTTTACATACAGGGTGTCCCAAGCAAGCGGGTTTCTTCAGTAACTGCTTTATAATTGAAGATATCGAAACAAAATTCGTACAAAAGTGCTACCATGTAAGTATCTTCATATCGTAAATTTATTTTTCATTATACAGAGTGTCCCATTTTTCCTGGAGGCTACCTTACTTCATTTTTTCAACTGGAATGCCCCATTTTTTATTGCATTTATGAATTCCTTTTGCTATTTAAATACCAAAATTCGCACTAAATCAATGATTTTTGAATATTTCCGAAACGAAAGCACACAGAGGTGTGCTATTTTCACACATAACTTGTGGAAGAAATAGTCTACAATTCCACTATTAACGCAAACATATTCCTTTCAAATTGATTGAAATCTACTACTTCCAAAATAAATTGTTTCGAGCTGGCATAACTATATTTTTTAAATCGAAAGCTCATCACGTACAGAATTTTATTTCCTTTCATCCAATATAAGGATGTTACTATCTACGACTAATACTTTTTGAGAAAACTAAATTTTAGATAGATAGGTAGCCTCCAGGAAAAATAGGACACTCTGTTTAATCGAAAATAATTTTAGGATATGAAGATACATATATGGTAGCACTTTTGATAAATAATAGTAAGATTTGCCTTCGTTGTGACAAATTAAGAAGTATTAGAAAATGAAGAACTTAGAGAAGGCGCTTTGTGAGTAATCTTGTTGAGAATGCTCTTGTAAATACATAAACGTTTCAATATTCTAATAGAGACTCACCTGATCAATGTCGAACCTTAAGATTTGGTTCATATATGTTGGTAGTTCCGTCATCAGTGTTTCGTATCCGTAATTTTGAGCCATATGTGTAGCCATAATCGCCCAGAAGGGTAAAGACGTTAAAATCGATAGCCATGGTGTAGAGGCAGGCTAAAATAATATTAAAAATTCTAATTCGAACCCATTAGGAACAAAACTATTTTAAATTTATTGTGACATTGAAAATCTGTTCTTAGTGTGGACTAGGGTGGACAAAATTTTTATTTTTTTTTCTAACCCCTGAAATGTTTCTATTTGTTGTAAAAAAAATCTTCGCTAAACATGAGCCCTATAGCTCAAATCTAAGGGGTCGCTATTTTTATTTTAGTTTCCCATTTAATTAACATACGAAAAATTCTTTTTTGTTTTAAATTGAATTTACACATAATTTACGCAATTTTTTCCAAAAAACCGTTTCATATTCTCAAAGTTGAGTCTTTGAGCTTTACAAAACTCTAAGACAAAGTATGATTATCTTTACAAAAAGACTAGTTACAGCCATTTAAAAATTACTAAATTTTGAAATTTGAAAAAATAGCTTGCAATTATTTTTTTTTGCATAATCCTCAAAATTTTTAATCAAACTATTAGTCAGTATTGTATTTTTATATATTACAAATTTCAAAAATGGTTCTCAGTACGTAGTGTAGGTGGCAGCACACATGATAATAATAAGATAAATGAATTAATCGTATGATTACAAGTAATCATGGATTATAATTTTGTTCCATATTAGTTTATATTAATTATCCATTTTTGAAATTTGTAATACATAAAAATACAATACTTACTAATAGTTTGAGTAAAAATTTTGAGGATTATGCAAAAAAAAATAATTGCAAGCTATTTTTTCAAATTTCAAAATTTAGTAATTTTTAAATGGCTGTAACTAGTCTTTTTGTAAAGATAATCATACTTTGTCTTAGAGTTTTGTAAAGCTCAAAGACTCAACTTTGAGAATATGAAACGGTTTTTTGGAAAAAATTGCGTAAATTATGTGTAAATTCAATTTAAAACAAAAAAGAATTTTTCCCATGTTAATTAAATTGGAAACTAAAATAAAAATAGCGACCCCTTAGATTTGGGCTACAGGGCTCATGTTTTTTTACAACAAATAGAAACAGGGGGTAAGAGTTAGAAAAAAAATAGAAATTTTGTTTAGAGCACCCTAGTGTGCACCTATCAAAATTTTATTCAATTCAATCCGATAATTTCTGCTTTTCGTTTGAGCTGTCACTAAGGACTATCTCCTTTCTCTACATACGTGTAGAGATAGGGGCATTAAAGAAAATATTTACTCACTTCTTTAGTTTCGTTTCCCCAAATAGATTCGAGAATCAGATGTTTTTCTTTTTCTTTTATTTTCGGATGTTTTTCTGGATCTTCGTAGCAGAATATTATGAATGCGATCGCCCATGCAGTACCAATAATTCCGAAAACATAGAAAATTGATTGCCATTTCCAACTAGACGCCGCTAGCCAACCACTTATGGGCATAGATATTACGGTACCAAATTGGGCTCCTGTGAACATTATTAGTAAGTCTTTCGGTATTTGTGTTAATAGGGCAAGGATATTTAAAGGAAAATCCCATAAAAATAACAAAGATAATCCAGTGTTTGCTTTTTAAACGATGATAAGAAAATTCTTGACTTGAGAAATATTTTCTTAAATAAAACAACAGACTATACCCACTGTTTTGACTAATAACGAAAACAGAATTGTTATGGGTGCTGTGATTTTACTTTATTGTCATGAATAAATACATCGCATTAGATACTAAAAATAGAAACAAATACCACGTTGATGGTATTTATATTCTTCCTTCAACCAATTTATTTTCTTCGTTATTAAAGAACTAATAGTTTTGAATTGTGTATTAATGAATATCGAGGTATCTTTAATTAAAACATATTTAATGTTAAGTAAACAATGTTAAATAACAAAACAAGTTGATATTCTTAATTGTAAAAGAATCGCGTCAAACAAGCAAGTAATTTGGTCTGTGTTCTGGCGTGCTGCTGAGACCGAAAGTAATCGAAATCGCGATTCACGTCCGACGAAATGGCAAATCTCTGACCAAGAACTTTTGTAATAAAATAATGCAAAGTATCTTATTTCGGAAATGTAATATTTTGATATAAATATGAAAGTCGAAGGTTGAAGGAAGAAATACAGATTATTTGACTCAAGATTTTCCAGTTTGTCGGTATTCTTAAATTAGAAAATTACTTAAACACTTGCATTTCTTGAATTAAGGCAATATTTTTATCAGTAAAAGTTTTTATCATCTCATTATGCGAATATGCCAACACTTTTGATATCCAGACATGGGATTAAGGGATCAAGATATGTAATTGATTATATTTATTTAAAAGTACCGAAATAAACTTCTGCTATTTATAATAAAAATATGTGATGCACCTACCTGCATAAACGAATGATCCAAACCGACTTCTTTCGTTTGGTGGTACCCATTTAGCTAAAAGGGCGTGCGTGCATGGTACAATTGGTCCCTAAAAAAAAATGATTTACTGCTATTGCTTACCATAAATTATTTTTCTGATAGTTGTTATCATGTATTAGGTATTTGAAATATTGTTATTAGTTTACGAAAATATTTAACAAAAAAATGTTGAAAAATACTATAGAGTGAGATCCCAGAGTCATCAGAGATTACTTAATTTCTGAGTAACAAACTGCTAACTTGGGCCGACATTACTCACTTTTGTTATAGTCTGAGCGTTGATTTTTAAATAATATTTCACAGAATATTGTTAAAAATTAATAATCAACAGTGCCAGACATTTCCTATCGACGGTAATCTCTGCCAGATGCTTCAAAGTTCGCAAAAGAAAAAATTAAGGTAACTTTACTTATAGTCTGAGCATTCATTTTTAAGTATGATACTTATGGAATTATCTCAATATTTTTTCTAAGCAGCTATACCAATTGTAGTGACCAAACATCCTCCAGACAATTAAAATGTCACTGTGACTGGAAGCGGAAGCGCGACAATTAGATGAATTGATATATTCTGTGAAACATTATGTAAAAAGCAGCACTCAGATTTTAAGAATACCGGTAAGTGCAAAATTGACCGTTGGTTCAAGTTAGCGCGTATGTATAGGTTCAAAGTGCATACTAGCACTACCCTTTGCCACCCATTTTGTTACTCAGAAAATAAGTAATGTCTGGCGGCTCCGGATCTAGGACCATGAAAGAATCAATGAAAAAATCAAAGCATATGCACTACAATTCTTAATCAATAAATTGACTTCATACAATATGGTAATAGTTTGTTGAATAGTACTCAGTACTTAACATAGGGTCTAGCACCGTGTCTCTTGTTCTTGAGATGTCAATCTTTAAAATTAAAAAAAAATTATATCTCTTGAAGGTTGATAACTCAAATCCGCAGTGATCAGTCATTTAGAAAAGGTAACTATTATCAATTGACAATATTGCTCCACGCAAGCAATATACCCATTAATCATAATGAATATTGTATGGTGGGGCTTAATATTTATGATTAGGTACTTGAATTTTAAACGGTTTATGATATAAAGGAATTCTTATCATTGAAATTCTATAATCCTTAATTGCTACAAGGTGACTTACTTATGGGTACCCATTGACGCTCATTTTTGTAATTCTTCGTTGAACCTTTCATTAAGCCGTTAATACATTGCTAATAAATAAATTAATTATTAATTGTTTTTCTAGTATCATTCAGATTTTTAAAGTGTTATTTATGTATAATTGAAAAGGTGTACGTACACTTGAAAATTATGAAGTAATTATTCGAATTATACATATTCTGTTGCATATGATCGTCCATCATCCAAGAGCTGAATCATTTTTTGAAAAATACTCGCCGAAGTTTAAGAAAATTTGTCCTAAACTGAAACTAACTACAGTGAATTTCATTTATTACGACCTTGGTTATAGCGATCATTTTGCTACAGCGACATTAAATCTAAGTCCCTTGAATTTAAGGCATACTTTAATAGAAAGTTCATGTGGCTATGGCGACTTCGGGAATAACGCCGAGTTCGGGTGTAGCGACTGTTTTTAATAAATCATTTGTAGCAAAACCTCTAGAGATCCCATGCAGATACAGCGACCGGATTCGGCCACCAAAGACACAAAGAGCTTTCTTATGTTTTATATATATCCATACTGAGTGGTAATCTTTACCGTTTTTTTATAGATATTAGTCAGGCAGGTAAGCGTGTACGTTAAAATGGTTCAGTTACAAAGGGTTATTCTGAATAGTAACTGGGTTTAGTAAATAAAATAATTCGAAGTGGTCTGTATTTTGTCGAAACTGCCAGACGCGGATCGCGATTTCGATCCTTTTGGATCTTATCAGCGCGTCGCAGACAGCTCCGACAGCACACAGACCAACTTTTACCTGCAGTCTTAACAACGCGTTTTAGAAAATACCACAAATGGCGTGGTAAACGCCATCTGTAGTACGATGCTACAGTACTTCGAATTATTTTATTCGATTATGGTAACGTGCCTGTCACGTTGAGGTTAGCTACGCCGGGATTCGTTTCAGCAAGTAGATATCCATATATTTAAATGGACCTTGTTGGAGCATACGTAATCCTAAAATGTAGCATCGTACTACAGATGGCGTTTACCGCGCCATTTGTGGTATTTTCCGGGTTTAGTAAACTTTTGAATAGTATAATATAACTGCTACATGCACATTTATTGTTAAAAAAAAGGCGGAAATCGTTTTAAAATTGAAAACCGATGAAAATTATTCATACGTGTCCGTATTTCGGATACAACGACGAAATTACAGTCCCTTCGTCGTCGTTATATCCGAAATCCACTGTACTGGTTTAGTTTCGTTTCGTCAGTTCCCGTTCCGTTTCGCCAATCACCTTTATTAATTACTTTATTATTTCCGGCTAGTCAACTATTAAGGTAGTTATACAAAAAAGTACCCATTCTATATATGTATAAATAAGGATTATTGTGAAGATATGTTGAAAGAATTCTCGTCCATTATCTCAAAGTGCCTCCTTAACCCGAATTAGAACATTTTAGAAGCAGAAATAGGAATTAAAAGGGGCAGAGGTTGACTTAAGATCTATGTAATAACTTTATTAAATTAGGAAAATGCGTAGATCTATTTATCATTGTGGCAAATTACAATCTACAGTACTTTATGTTTATTTTCATATCTACAAATAATATGAGAAGTGGGTACTTCATCAATTCTTTGCAAACAATTGCTAATCGATATCAAATTGAAAAAGTACCTATGCAATGTGTTGAAAAAATTTTAAATATTACTTGTTATCTAATGCAAAGGTTTCTTTTTATTTATAAGCCGCCAATAAAAACTTGCTGGCCGAAATCTGTTACAAATATTCGTTAAAATTGATAGCGGTTTTCAAGGTACCTACAGTTTATTTTACGGGAGTAGTTGAAGGGTTTAAACTAGAAATGAACCAGAAAATGGTTTTCCAGATAATCGGGTCCCTGTCAGCGGCATCATGTGAAACATTTCCATTTGAATTTTAATGTGAAATATTTGAAACTATTGGAATGTCTGTACCAGAAAAAATCACCTGTTTGTCTAAAAACTATGCTATGCTGACTAAAATTGACTCATTACTTGGTAGTTACGCCAGCAGGGTGGGGGTTACAACAAGGACACAGGGATGACAACGTGGAAACTTGTATTGTAGGTTTGATTATTATAAACAGGGAATTTTCCTGTTTGGAGAGCATTTTTAGTCTGTAAATTCTTTTTTTTTTGATAAAGTATGTTATAGTTTAACGTTATCTAAATGTATATTATATTTTAGCACATATTTAGCTAATCTTATTGAAACCTTCTGTTTCTTTAAAAATGTTGTTGACATGCTCTTTCACACGAATAGCGAAAGAACGCCCACTTTGTCCAATGTATATAGCATCGCATGTCGCACACTTAAAATTGGCAGACGTCACTTCTTTTTGGTTTGTCTGGCTTAGTTTGGTTGTTCACTAATAGTTTTTGTTTGCGTCAACTGAATGGAATATAGTATTGTAATTTTAATGTAAAGAATGTGCATATTACAGTAAATTAACGGATCTTCGACATTCCTAGCTTAATTTAATTTATTTTTTATTTATTATCACTGCTATTTTTCGTTTTTTTTTCGCACTAAGAATGCCAAGAAATTGCCGAATTCTTTAGGTACCGGATCCTAACGCCGAGTATCCGTTCAATCTCTAATTTAAACGTGAGGTTTTGTCAGTCAGTTTAATAACTCTTTATCAGCATACTGAAACACTCTTCCTTTCGTCTCTGAATAAGCATGTTATCAACCCTTTTTCGCTTTTTAAGCATTATTAACAATAGCAAAATATTATCATGCCACTATCTTCTACGTCTGTATGCGATTAGACGTAAACGATTAAACACTTCGATTAGACGTACTCGTGCAAAAGAGAGTGTAATCTACCGCATTAAAGAAGGACCTCACGAATAATTTATGTAAAATTATGTAAAATCGGCCCGTATGAAAAATAAAAACCATCATGCGTTAACATAAAATTCGATTGGGAAAAGTACATATTTTCCTTTAATCCTTTAAATCAAATGTATTATTGCTTTGATATTATTTTAAACATTTAGCACTCAACTAGTCGACCTTTAATGACTAAGAGGATCTAGCCTATCTCATATTTTTAACCGCGTTTCAATGAACAGAACCCTATAAACTGGTGGTAACAATTTCTAAACGACTTTTTGTCATATGTTACTGTATTTGAATGACTTTTTCAATAAGGGAATCTCAAAAACAGTTAGAAATGATGATGAGTTGATAATGTATTTGTTTTTTTGTTTTCTACTCTGCGATTTTTTGAAATTCGTGCATGAACAACAAATAAACTTAATTTTAACTTACCTCTCCAAGTCCTTGAATTAATCTCACCGCCATTAGCCACGCTGCCCCGGACTTAGCTGCCAACGGAACGAAAAGTGCGAAAACTGAATTTACTAACATTCCAAATCCTAAGAAGTACAGGCTTCCATATTTGCGACCCAATATTCCGAATGGAATTTGTGTGATGACGTATCCATAAAAAAATGAACTTAAAATGTACCCCTGAACGTCCGTTTCCCATTCGTATTCACCCGTACTCGAACTGGATGGCTAAAACGTCAAAAAAATTTTTTTAAACTTACCCGAGATAAAAATGTTCAGTCTCTCAGAGTCTCTAAAAGCGAGACTCGAGTTTCCGTCTCTCATCGAGTCTCTCAGGTGTCGCTGTCAAAAAAACTGTTTAGCGTCTTAGAACGAGAGACTCGAGTCGCTCATAGAAAGATCCTCATTTCGTATCCAGTCTCTGAACAAGAGACTCGAATCTCTGAACGAGAGACTCAAATCTCTCAATAAGTAGTGTTTCGATAGACATGGTTAAAATTTTTTAAGTTCAACATATTTCAGAGATCCCAGTCTTTCTACGAGAGACTCGAGTCTCTCAATTTTTCAGTTTTATTCATTCAGTCTCTCTGTGAGAGACTCGAATCTCTGAATTAACAATTTTATCGTTCGAGTCTCTCATACAGAGNAATAAGAAGTCTATTGTCTGAACATATCGTTGTAAATCTTTCAAAAAAACAATATTGTGCGAACAAATTTACATTTGCAGTTTGAATGTATGGGAGATCATGTTTTTTTTTTCCAAAACAATGTTATGTTGGTTCTTGGGTTAAGTTTCCGTACGTCGGAATGAAAAATGGAACCCTTATAGGATTACTCGTGTGTCTGTCTGTCTATCACAGTCAATTTGCTCCGAATCTACTGGGCCGATCAAGTTGAAATTTACTGTACATATGAATAAATAAATTAATTCTGAACATGGGGACCATTTTGGGGGGCTAATACCATGCAACATATCAAATTAAAGGGCTTCTTGCAAGGTTCTCAAGCATATTTTTTATAATTTTAAAATAAACAGTTTTACAATTAATATTAAGAAAATAAATGAAAATTGACCACTTGCCCCCTCTTTATCTCCGAAACAACTGAACCTAAAATTGTGAAAAAAAATACAGAAAATAGTTCTTTACTTATAGATTACAGGAAAATTAGTAAGAAATCTATGGTCTGAACATAACGTGGTAAATCTTTTAACAAAATAATATTGCGCGTACAAATTTACATTTGCAGTTTGAATGAATTGGAGAACATGTTTTTTAAATTTAATTAAATTAAAAATTTCCACAACATATCCTACTGGATGTCGAATGTTGGCGCATGAGTTAGTTCCATCTCTTAATTAGCTGTTTTAATAGTCAGATAATTCCAGAAAGTCACCGAGCGGCATGGCCTAGAGGTCTAGACCATTGCTTAGCATTCGGGAGGACGCCGGTTCGATTCCGGGTCCGTCTGCCTTGGTCCAAGTTTTTCTGTGGTTTCCTTGGATTACTTAGGCGAATGCTGAGGCAGTAATATTCCACAGATAATCTTTCACTCTCTTCTGTCTTCATTTCGTCCGTCTCATCTTTCTCACCCGAACCACCACCCACCCATTCCCACGATTCCTGAAAGCAGGCTGAAGAGGGCCTTCCGCCCTACCTTCCGGCATAGTCCGGAGGGACTGCCCGCCCACCAGCATTACTGGCTGGTGGGAATGAAACATCCAAGTTTTTCTTTTTTTTTTCCAGAAAGTCGGATATTAAGAGAAAATGGCGGCGCAAATTGCCTATGCAAGTACTTATGTAGTGCTTATGTACTACAAGTATATTTATCTAATCGTAAATGATTTCCTGTACACCTTTCTTGGAAAATTTCGACAAGGGTACTAAGGGCGCTTGGAATAAAATATAATATTTATGTATAATTTAAAATAAAAAAATTAGAACCTCATCTGTACTGTTTGCCAGAGAAGGGCATTCGTTTGAATATTCGGTAGACGATGATGACGTGTTGACCATAGCAACAATTGCTACCGACATATTTGTTCTCATAATGTAAGCATTTGCCATTCCCAAAAATAACATAAAAACTGTGAAGTGCCGTGCTCCGACCCAACCAAAACATCTACCTGAAAAAAGGAAAAGAAAACGGTATTTAATCTTTGGGTTTTGATAAACAATACTAACTCGGATTACGCTACCTCGACTTACGTAAATAACTGAGAATTGCATGATTGTTATGTTTGTATTACCAGTTTTGTTTCTACACTATTTTTTTTCTTTGTTTCACGATTATGTAAGAAATATCTGCCCTTATCTACATATAGCATATAGCATCTACATATAGCAATATGAGAACTAAATTGAACTATAAAATTGACGAAATGTTGACGACTGAAGTCTGAAAAATTAGTATGAAAAAATTGACTATACCATATAAAAATTTAATGCAAAATAACAATACAGTATCTGGAATTAAAATTTACTGATTATTAATTTTATATTTTAAATTAAATTGTAACAGAAAAATTTAAATGATCGATATTTCTAGGTAATGTTACTTATTTATCCTTTTGTATAATATAAAATTCTAAAAGCGTGCTGTAGAATTGAACTCTAAAGTAGTTCCTATGTTAACTGCTTATTTTAATCGCGTCTTAAAAATATTATTTTCATTTACAATGTTTTTTTATTGACGATTCCACTAGTAGCTGTGTTTGTAAATATTTCAAAAGTAAAAACAAAAAAAGAATTAAATGACTTACTCGTACAGGTTTCTTGATTAATCCCATTTTCGTTAACAGGTTCATTTTTGGTGGCTATTGCCATGATTTATGGGAACTGAATTAATGAGAAAAGATACGAATTTTTATACTTATATGAATTAATATAATAAAACCTGACTGTGATCGAATCACGCACAAGCACAAGACGATTCTCGGGGACGCAACCAATTTATAGCAATTTCATTATTCTTTTATATTCTAAGATAACACTTCCAAGATAAGTATCTAATTGTGACAACCGATAGATAAATTACGATAATCATAATGCTGTGCGGCGCTTACATTTGATACAAGTATAATTCCTAATCAATATTTGACTTAGTATAAAAAAAAAACGTCAATCAAGCCTGGTATAGTACATGATCCTTTCCAAAGATCCATGCCGGATCCGTTTCAAGGATCCATACCCGATCCGGCCAAAGAATCAGGATTAATTTTGTTTCTGCATATTAATTAAACAATAATAATTTAGTCATAGCATTAATAATAAATTTATAAAATGTCGAAACTGCCAGACGCGTATCGCGATCTCGATCTTTGTGGATCTCATCAGCGCGTCGTAGGCAACTCCAACAGAACACAGACCGACTTTTACCTGCTGTCTTAACAGTGCGTTTTAGAAAATAATACAAATGGCGCAGTAAACGCCATCTGTAGCACGATGCTACATTTTAGGATTACGTATGCTCCAACAAGGTCCACTTGTGTGGATATCTACTTGCTGGAAACGAAT